TAGTCTTCGAGAAGAGATCTTCCAAGCCTGCCACGACGACCCAACATCTGGTCACCTTGGCTACAGTAGGACCCTTGCACGGATCCGAGAAAAATACTACTGGCCCAAGCTTCCGAAGACTGTCCACCTCTACGTCCGTTCGTGCCACGAATGCCAACGACGTAAGAAACCACCGACGAAGCCGGCAGGTCTCTTGCAACCGATCGCGCCCCCGACTGCACCATTCCAGCAGGTTGGAATGGATCTTCTCGGACCTTTCCCACCGTCGGCACAGAGAAACCGGTGGATAATCGTGGCAACTGATTATCTCACCAGGTACGCCGAGACAAAAGCACTCCCGTCGGGGACCGCCGTGGAAGTAGCCAAATTCTTCGTGGAGTCTATCGTCCTCCGACATGGCGCTCCCCAAGTCTTGATTACGGACCGAGGATCCTCGTTCATGGCGCAACTGACACAAGAGATACTCCGCCTGAGCCACACCGACCACCGCCGGACCACGGCATACCACCCGCAGACAAACGGGCTGACGGAGCGACTAAACAAGACCATCGCCGACATGATTTCGATGTACGTGGACGTGGAACACAAGACGTGGGATGAAGTGTTGCCCTACGTCACGTTTGCGTACAACACGGCGATTCAAGAAACTACCGGCATTACACCCTTTCAGCTGGTGCACGGCAGAAAGGTGACGACGATGCTCGACGCCATGCTGCCCCACGACCCGACGGACGACGGCACTGACGACGCCCAGCTGGTCACCCAACGAGCAGAAGAAGTGCGCCAGCTAGCCCGTCTTCGAATTGAGGACCAGCAACGTGTGGACGCTGGCCGGTACAACCTTCGCCGCCGCGACGTGGAGTTCCAGCCCGGAGACAGGGTATGGGTGTGGACGCCCATTCGCCGCCGCGGCCTCAGCGAGAAACTGTTAAAACGCTACTTCGGACCCTACAAGGTCATCCGCCGCCTTGGGGACTTGAACTACGAGGTGCTCCCCGACGGAACTCGCCCATCAAGACGCCGCCAGCCACGACCCGAAGTCGTCCACGTAGTTCGACTCAAGCCGTTCTACGCGCGTTAGGATTGTGAAACTGCATGTTAGTTTTGTTTCGCCGTAATTGTTTTAGCCATTTCCGTTTTCCTTTCGTTTTGCATCGGGGCGATGCACTTTTAAAGGGGGGATAATGCCACCCGCAGAGCCGAGAAGGCAACGCTCGGTCACGGTCTTCTAGAAGATTCCCGGTCATTCTCGCAGCAGACGTAACTTTCCCTCTGCTTTGTTATTCTCGAAAGTGCCAGTTCATCCTCGCCCCGAGAGCGCGACGCTCGAACCTTCCTTGCCGAACTTTCGAGATAGTGACGCACGGTAGATAAGCAACTGCCCGCGACCTTGTCGAGTCAGTCTCAGTCTCGCTAGCGCTCTGTAGTGCCGCCGAATCGCCGCCCGCTTTTCTGCTGCCTCGACGCTCTTCCGTTACTCCTTTTTGTTTGGCACAAGTTCGCCCATTAAACCTTTATTTTCAGTTTACTCTTTTCTTTCTCGTCGCCTTAATTCGTGACAATATATATAACTGGTCTATGTGGTCTAGTTAAAATTAGATCATTTAATTTTATTTTTTATGTAAAATATAATGACAAACTTGTCCTCTTTAGCAACCCTTTCATGTTTAGACATTTTTCGGCGATGTTTAACACAAATTAATTTTATGTTTCGAAACAAACCTTTTGTACGCAGTAAATATTGCTTTGTTTACTTTTTAGAAAAGCTATAGCGCTGAACTATTTTAGTATTTTCGGCGTTGCGACTGGAAATTGCCTAAATATTAGAAAATCGTGCAATATATTCACAGCAATAAAATATAATCATCAACAATTTCTCTATACGTTCACGTAAGTGACAACCGTTATTTCAAAATTCACAGAAACATGTTGCATTATGCTCTTCAAAATTAAAACAAAAAATAGTTTTTTTTTTCTTGTACGCTGCAGCCAAGTGCAGTTGGATGGTTTCTGTTTCAACGACTAGTGGCACTCGAGCACCGCAGCCGAATTCGCCGTACTTGGTCACATCATCTCCCAGACGCCATGGAATCTTATACCAATATGAACAAACCTGTGTGTGTGTGGTTTTTATTAGTGATGTGGCTCGATATCGGCTATGAGAGCTTTGCTTCGCGGCGGATTCGGTCTGTGAGGTGCTTTGCTTGGTTGATTGCGCTGCACTGCGAAATTTTACCAGTATAGTACATTAATGTGGGTAGTCTGGTAACAAAAATATTTGATTAATTTATCCGGACATCAATGTACACCGTTTTCTATTGCGCTGGACTGTAGCGGACGTTACGAGCTATCTCAGCCAATTATACGCATATCAAGAAAAAACCCGTTACTGCGCCCTTCTCAAAGATCCCATGACACCCACACGGCATTGGATTCACTTGTATGGTACGTATACCTACCATACCATAGCGCCGCCTGTGGTCCGTCGTAAGGTGAAAAGGAGCATGTGCGCGGGAGGCGTTGCGGAATCTTGTGTCTTAAACGATGGCGTTGCAAGGGCGGCGCAACAGCAGCTATTAGTTTCAAAAGTAGGTAGCTTCATTGGACCAGCGCTGCGCCTTCGCGCAAGGTATGGCTCGAGTATTTGCAGTGCCACTGCGAATCGGGCAATGTTTGCACCACGCAACGGAAGGCTCTATGCAGGCTCACAAAAGGAGCTCCACGCAGTAGCTGTATCTCCTTCCATAATAATACGCGTATATGCAGCATGGCGATAATGGATCATCTAAAGTAAGATCAGTTAGAAAAAATGTAAACAACAAGGTTTTTAAACTCTTTTTTCGAATTTTGCTTGTCGGTACTGATCACATATGTTTGCTTGCTAATATCAAAATGTTCGCCGACATTGGCTCAAGGTGCCATGTTTTAGAGCTCTTATAAAGTTTATGTAGTGAAGAACTATTATAATTTAGAAACACTGGCCTGTACCCGAACATTGTTTCTGAAAATTAATTAACTAATAATTGCAAGTTTTAAAAGGTACCCAAATTTTGCTTGTGAAAAGAAATAGCGTCGTCGGCATGCGCCTATCCAAAACGGGGTTTGGGCTAAGCGCATGCGCACTTTTATCGACGCTATTTTTTGCCTACGCAAAGATTTTTGCTACTCTACTCCATAATGTCCGAAAGTTATTACTCTTGTTATGCAATATCAGACATAACCAAGCCGGTGGTGCACTTGAATGCCAAAGAAAAGCTAGTGCTACATGATTTACGACCTTCTGTTTCCAGCGATTTTCTTTATTTTATTTTCAAAAATTCTTTACTTCTATTCTACTATGAACTTGAAGATCACGCGTAGAACTGACAAGTGCATTAAAATGTTGACCATTTCTCTACTGTTCAAACTGATTTAAATCACCCAATACGTTGGGGGATTTCAGCCTTGAGTTGCGTGGTGTAAACATCACCGGGGTGAGCAGCGGCGTTACAAATTTCAGAGGCATCACTCGCGCGATTCCACAACGCGGGTCCAATGACGCTAGATAGCTTTCTACTCCTTCGTCACTTTTCCCTCCTTCTCCTCTTTAGACACAACCTGCTATTGCTCCCCACTTGCCACCCCCGCCATCGGTTGGGGCATACGATTAAAGTTGGATCACAGACGACGCTACGAGACATAACCCTCAATCCAATGCCGTGTGACCTTTCAGAAGAGCGCAGTGATGCGTTGCCACATGATAGGCCTAATTGGCTGATATCGCTCGTAATGTCCGCTACAGTCCATCGTATTAGGAAAGGAAGTACAGTGATGTCTAGACAGATGAATCAATTCACTCTGCCAGTAGACTACACACATTAAACTACTAACCTAGGAAAGTAGCGCAGTGGAGCGAAATCAACCAGGCACAGAACCCGATGCACCGAATTCGTTGCAAAATTCAGGTTGCTTATGCAATATTAAACACATCACTAAATAAAAAAAAAACATTTTTTTTTTGTGTTTACCGTGTCTGGGAGATAATGGTACCAAGCACGGCTACACTGAAAATAGGGCTCGAATACCAGTAGTCGTTGAAACAAAAACCATCCTACGCTAATTAAAAAAAAAATTGGGTTATGGGGATATTTATACAGCGTGTAGTTGGTCAGCCATTAAAGTTGCGACGAGTCACACGCTGTAGATGAGCAATTTAGCCAGTGCAGTACGACCGCTAGCCTGGGGTCTTTAACGTGCTCACGCAGTAGTGATACACGACCGCACGCCGGTACGATGCTCATCCAGATCGAAACGGGGAGGGGTGGGGCTCGAACCCAGGATCCCTGGGTTTTTGCAGCGCGAGCTTTCGCTCCACGCGCGTCGAGCTGAGTGTGCGCTTTAGCGTCATTACGTGTGTAATGACGCTAAAGCGCATTACACGTCATTACGTGTGAAAAATACTGGGATATTATTTTTTATTAGGTGCCAATCTTGATGTATCTTGATTTATCTACTACAATGCTACTGGATGATAAATTAAATTATTAATACAATTGAGGTGGAGGCACCATCGTATTAGTTTTAAAGGTTTCCATCCGAGCTAGACATTTAATTAAAAAATACTATCGTGAAATTTATAGTTATTTAGCACATATCTCGCAGCCTGATTTTGAATTCTTTCAATTTGGTTTACACATATTTGCGTGTGCGGGCCCCGAATAATACAGGCCTCTTCTTTGCAAATAAGGTATATTCTGCTGTATGGATATGTTTTGCTACGTCAAATAAAATTTTTCATTGAAAACAAGAAATAGGAATGACACCCGTTTGACCCTGCCGATCTGAACACACCCTTTAATAAAAGTAAATTGCTGAAAGGTTTATTCATATTTCTTAGCGGTAAACAATGCTACGAAAGCAATATATGTATACAATATGGTTTGTACACTGATGGGAGGCCGGGTGGACGTAAAACTCTTGTGGATCTACATATGTATATAAATATATATCTTTGTACTCACGACCGAAGGGTTGTACGTTTACAATGTTCTTCGTGGAATATCCGGGGGATGAAGACAGCGTCGAGTTAAGATTACTGTGGAAGTACACCAGAATGAAAATGCATCATGAGAAGTAAATGTACTTGTTGTTGGGCTAATTGGTGATGAACGTGGCATATTGAATGCATCACGGGGTTATGTATGAAACCCGCCCAACTTATAGAAAATCTAACGTTGCGAAAACGGGAATGTGCACCAATGGCCGTTTGAAGGAGCCTGCAAACAATTTAAAGACAAATTTCGGGGCACATTTGCCCACACGGTGCAGGGCCTGTATATGTAGCCATGCTTCGGTTACTCCAAGATTTTAGGTAGAAGTAAGAAAAAAAGAGCACGCGAACTGCACGAGGCGTACTTGGAGAAATAGCGCAACCAGCCTCTGCTGCGCTGGGGCAATGCAGTAGAGGCTGGTTGCGCTATTTCTCCACGGGGCGCAGTGCCGCCGGGGCCGAGAAGCGCACTGATTGCAAACCGAAACTTAAAAGCCCGTGAGAGAGTGCAGGCGAGCTGGTAATCAATCGTCATCTTGTAAACCCTGAGATGGGGAACGATAAAAAAATTTGAGATTTTGTTGTGTTCGTCCGTTTTTTTATCGTTCCCCATCTCAGGGTTTAAAAGCCCGTCGAATTTGTGCGGTTTTTCAGAAAGCCGTAAAATGCTGACCGTGCCTTCTATCGTTCTCCAATTTGTTGATATAGTGGGTTTCGGTGATGCTGAGCAATTTTCAAATTGAAACCATACCCTTAGACACAACATTAAAAGAGTTAATTATGCAAAAATAATTAACAATCTAATTATCCCGGACTTGAATATTTTTTTTTCTAAGTGGGCCCCTGGCCCAGGATAAAAACAACACAAGCCTTTTTTTTTGTTGCGACGCGTAGTTTTCGCAATATCTAATTTGTCCACTTGTCTTGAAACGCCCTGTATATGTTTTTACCCCTTTGTGTGAGAAAGGTATAATTAAATAAAGTGAATGTGTCTCTCATCGGAAGACTACTTTTTACTATACAAATATAAAAATGATTAGACGGCCAGTTTAGTACATTTAAAATTTAATAACTCTAAAATTGATCAAGACTAACTATGTAGGTCGTACGACTTAACTGTCTTTAAAACTTAACATTGTATTGTAGTGGTATGATTCTTACGAAGAAAATTATTTATGACGCTAAAAGCAATATGTCCAAGTCTGTTCAATGTTTAATTTAAATCTCCCGCTGCTACCGTCAATTAATTATCCTTGTGCTATCAAAATAATAAAAACAGGCATAATATTGACTCTAAAGTGCTCAAATTTAGATATTGCTATTTCTAGGCTCGCAAAACAATTTTCTTCTGGGAAAGCACTGACATCTAAATCTATCATTTGCACATCAGTCTCTTTATTTTTTTATGATGTAACAAAACGTTTACAAAATCAATTATACGGTTCCCTCTTTTACTTACACTGAGCCATTATCAAACTCAAAAAGAACCAGATTCTCGCCATTGGGCCCTACTCCGGTTTGAGAGAATCTGACACACTTGGCAGTTCCACCAAAAATGGGATCAGTCTTGTAGTTTCTGTATAACATGTACCACGTTCCTTGGATTGGGTATTGCTGCATTATTTTGAACAAACAAACATGCACAAAATTAACAGATGTATGTGTGTCGTTTTTCCCGCAAATACAAGTCTGCTCATTTCTATATACAACGTAACGGATTGATATCACAGGATAATTGTTTAGCTAAAGAGATACAATGTATTTCGCAACATGGCCTAATATTTTTTTTATTTATCATTTACTATATCTCCCAGCATCCTCAACGTGAATGAAAACAAATATATTTCTGTGCCCTTAAAACAATTTTGAACGTGCACACTGCAGCCAAGCTTAAGAGGCTCAGTCATCCTGAGGATATTACATACTCTAACGAGTCATAAAACACAGGTAATGCTTGCTTCGAAAACACAATTTGCGATGGAACAAAATCCGTCACTTTCACGTTCCAGAAACATTTCCCCAAAAAAAGTGTTGAACCTCCCAATGATCTGCTATTTTCAATTTCAGTCTTTAATATCCAGTCTGTATAAAAAAACTGTAACAAAATGCCTATGTTCGTGCAAATATGAAGTTCTTTTTTTATAATTTGCAGATTGTTCAGAAATATTTATTTTAAGAAATCCTCTTCACCGCCCCATTTTAATCGATCGTCTTTATAATCCGCACCACTCGGCACGTACGACATTAACTTAAAGTGCATGACGTAAAACAGAAAACCGATAGATTCTCTTGATAAGCATTTAATACTAGCCACTTTTAAAGCCTTACTCTAATTAACCCAATACGATACTCATAAAATCTCATCAATTATTAGAATACGAACAACCACAGCCGGTTATATGACCAGCTTTACGAAATGACAAAATTATCAGTAGCATCTAATTAAAAAAAAGAGACTTACACGAGACTCATCTTGATAGACTCCCAAGGCTGGATTTCTCTCTATATACATTTCTTCAGCCGAAGAGGTGTACAGAGACAAACCAAAGGTTAAAGCGAGTACAGCCCACACCTCGGTGGCACTCAAATATAGGGGCTGCATTTCCAGTCTTCTTCTCCCGTGTCCTGGCAATGAACCGTAGCGATGCACTTTTAAAGCGTGAATCGACCGGATGCAGGGTAGCAAACGGATACAGATTTTAGATCACGCGACCGGTTAATGTTTGCCTTTTCGTCTTTGCTCTCCAGCCGAATGCAGTTTTTTTCTTCAGTCAAGGTTAGCTCCAGACAACGAAAGGCCTAAAAATGTAAAGAAGGAAAAGAATTGCGTTTTGTTAGACAGAAACTATTTTTTACTCACATTTCCGTTCCCACAGCCGATAGACACGTGAAACCAAACTTTATTTTTCTCTTACGGTTACAGTGAGGTATGTGTAGGCAATGTATTTTTCTGGAAAGACTCTAAATGCGCAGGCGAGCTGGTGGTAGTTAATCATGTTTCAAAACTCAGACTGTATCGCAGAAAAGTGAACATACTTTTAGTCGAAGGAATGGGCAGAGAAGAGAACGTCTCAAATTCAACACGAAAACGAGAATGAGGGGCCCCGTGAAGATTCAACACGTTGGGCGCAAGCTGTCATTTGCCAGATGCAGGATACTGAACGGATACGGATTTTAGATTTCTTTGTGGTTTGATAAAGCTTTGTTTTGTGTGTATTTAAACTGGCTTTTAATACACGGTCGTTTTATGTTTGCATTTTCGTGTCTGCTCTTCAGCCGAACACAGCTTTCTCTCTTCATTCAAGGTTAGCTCAAAACAACAAAAGGCCTAAAAAAAGAACAGAAAAACATTGTGTTTTGTTAGACTGGAAATATTTTTACCCACACTTCCTCTCCCACAGCTGCTAGACACGTGGAATCAAACTTTAATTTGATCTTACGGTTAGAGTGAGTATGTGTTGGTAACATATTTTTCTGAAAAAAATGTAAATGAGCAGGGCAAGCTGGTGGTAGCTAATCATGTTTAAAATCTGAGACTGTGGTGGAGAAAAGTGAAAATACTTTTAGTTGAAGGAAGAGGCACAGAAGGGAACGCCTCTAACTCAACACAAAAACGAAAATAAGGGGCGCGGGGAAGGTTCAACATGATGCGGAACAAGCTGTCATTTGCTAAACGCAGGGTACCAAACGGATACGGATTTTAGATTTACTTGTGGTCTGATAAAGTTATTTTTTTGGTATCTAACTGTCTTTTGATACGCGATCGGTTGATGTTTGCTTTTTTTGTTTTTGCTCTCAGCCAAATACAGCTTTTCATCTTCATTCAAGGTTAGCGCAAAACAGCGAAAGGCCTAAAAAAGGAAGAAACGTCAACAAAGAAATGCGTTTTGTTAGACTGAACTTATTTTTCACCCACATTTCCGTTCCCCCAGCCGGTAGACACGTAAAATCAAACTTTAATTTGCTCTTACGGTTACAGTGAGGCATGTGCTGGCAATATATTTTTCTGCAAAGACTGTAAATGCGCAGGCGAGCTGATGGCAGCTAATAATGTTTAAAATCTGAGACTGTGGTGCAGAAAAGTAAAAATACTTTTAGTCAAATAATTAGGCACAGCAGGGAACGGCTCAAACTCAACACAAAATCGGGATTGAGGGGCCCAGTGAATACTCAACACGTTGTGGCACAAGCTGCGTTTTGTTAGAGCGAAAATAGTCTTTACCCACATTTCTACCCCCACAGCCGGTAGACACGTGGAATCAAACTTTAATTTGGTCTTACGGTTACAGCGAGGTCTGTGTTGGCAATATATTTTTCTGGAAAGAGTCTAAATGCGCACGCGAGCTGGTGCCCAGGTAGCACACTTGCTTGGTTTAGCTGGGGCCAGGATTGGCACTTATTTGTAATGGCTTGGCCACGACTGGCCAGGCAATTTCAGCTGTATGCCAGCCTGGCGTTTCACAGTCTTTCCTTGCTCCAGAAAGCCACAAAACCTCCAGGGAACGTTTTTCTTGGTTGGCCAATAAATTTCCTTGGTCATTGATGGCCATGGTAAACAGGCCGCTGCCAGTATTTGATGTACCCTGGCTGTCTATTGATTTTCCTCGGTCAGAAATAACCAAGGTAGCAATGCCTCTGCAAAGCTTTGAGCTTCCATGGTGGTTTATAGGAATTCCCTGGTCCACTCAGTACAAGCAACTGCCAGTGTTCGGGCATGTTGCAAAATCGAAGATAGGGTGAGCCAAGGAACGGCAGAGAATTGCCGCTATGCAATGTTCCACTTTACTGGACCCAGAATTCCCGCTGAAAGCCACTGTTACTTTATAGTTCGTTTAACTTCTTTACTTTCTTTTATCTGTATGAGCATTCTCTTAAAATATTTTTCGTGCTTTGTGGCACGAGCCCTGGCACTAGAAAGCGGCGTTTTTGTGCAAGAGATCTGTATTAGCTAGAGACAAAAATAACACGTTTTACAAAAGAGAATGGTTGTCCCCTCTCCCTCTCCCCCGTGTCAGGTGTATTGGTTCCCTTTTTGTCTTGATCTCCAACTCCTCTTCTATCGCAGCTGTTTTTACTGACACTGAATGAGAATGGACCGCATAAAAATAGAGGATAACGTCCACTTGACAATAGTGTACCTTAAACATTCCCCGTTTCTGCACCGTATTCATATATCTGTTGATCATGTTATTAACTTGTGTAACAATGCGGTAAGTTGGGTGAGTTGATCATCTTGGAAACAGCATAAGTTGTGCATTTGCACTTATGTTGATATATAGGTTCTGTAGGGTTGCCGCAAGTACAATGAACAGCTAGCAACCATAAAACAAAAAAGAGAGCATAGGCAAAGTCCAGTGGTGTACCAACTTGTTTTTGAGGGGGGGGGGAGGGCAAACCAGACCCTCCCTCCCTCCCTCCCTCCCCCCCCCCCCCCGGGCCGGCGCGGTGCCCTTGGTTTCTATGGAGTGAAGACAAACTTTTAAACTGTACTTACGTTTACATGGATGCGACAGCAGCGCGTCGGATCCAGTTAACGAATCGAAACGTTCCATGTAAACGGCTCGGTTCGCATGTCGATCCGATCCGATCCGATCCGCTGGCACAGGGTGGTTTGAGATGGTCAATCTGAATCGAGGCTCTCCATGTATACACCAGCGGATCGAATCGAGCGATCGAGCGAGAGATCACGGGAACGTTGCGTTGCATGCCGGTAGCGGATGCGGACGGCCTGGACGACCAGTTGCGGCAGCAAACTCAGGTGGCAGCAAATTTCCCCGTCTGGTTTTCACTCACAGGGAGACGGAGACATTCCTTGCACTAATAAGTGAACTGAGTGTTAGCTCATTACTGGACACGCGCCGGCAGCGCAACGAACCCTACTTATCACATTACCATTCTATTTCTCTTAATAATTGCTTCGAATGTCCGCGAGTGTCCAGAAAGCGTCACAAGACATCATCTTAAAGGAAAAAAATTGTCTTAAAAAATAAAAATAAACGAAAAAAAAAATAATGTGACGGGCATCTGTACTGAAGGTACAGATGGAGTCGCGATTTTAACAAATTGACAAATGCTGCATCGGCCGTGGTAGTTCCCGATATTTTTGTGTTTACGTCATCTATCGGCTGTAAAGCGTAACATTCAAATAAGGTTGCGTAAGTTAAACAGGACGTAACTTTAACTTTTATTCCCTTCGGACGTAACTTTCATTTTCATTTCGAGTTCCGTCGGAAGTAACTTGAAACCTTGGGGTAAAGTTACGTCGGATGTAACTTTAATTTCTATTTTGGGTTCCGTCGGACGTAACGCTAGACAATGCGTAAGTCGTCACAGGCGTGCACCTCAACTACGCCAGACGACGTAGTAGTTTAATGACAGCCAGCTCTTGGAAGGTCCAGCCGCTGGTCAGGAAAGGACGCAGCGGCGTAATGCCGCTACGTATGCGTCGGCAGCGGTGTTAATGTTTAAGATAGGTGGCAACGAAGACGGCATAATAAAGTTTTGTGCACGTGACAACCAGCGAAACAAAATAAAGTTGCTGAAACATCAAACAGAACGCCAGCACCGCTGCACTGTAAGCCATTTGCGCTGCTCCGAGGTGCCGCTGCGAGTTCAATCCCGACTTCCGCCACGCTAAGCAAACCGGAGACCCCGGAAACAATCGAAAGGTCACGAGGTGCAGCTACTGGTCGATGCGAATTCATGTAAACGTAGACAATGATTTTTTTCGGATTTTTTCTTGAAGCATTAATTAGGATTGTCAGCTGCGCGTCAAGTCAGCACGTTTCACACTTCAAATTCTACAACAGGAAAACACACACCCAATTTGCTTTGGTCTGTGGGGTTTAGGGGTTTAGTGATTAAAGACAACAAGATACAATTCCAAGGGTTGAAAAGGCACAATCACAGGTTTATTGCTCATATAAATGCACCGCACATGCAAAGATCCGAAAGATAAACTAAAACACCAAACGAAATGAAGTTAACACAGTCGACATAGTATTGGCATTGCTTGGGATCCCTGAATGTTATACGCTTCCAACTGTGACTTTTTTTTTTATGTGGTTGTGGAGACGAACTTCCTCATGACTTGCACTAAATCAAGCGCAAAATATGAAGCGTGAATCCCCAGGCGCTCTTTGAATCATTCTGAAGACGGTGCTTTCCCTTTCGCTGAGACGACGAGGATTTGTTCTAGCCTCAGGAGCAAGTCGGAACCATCCTTTGTGAACCGTCGTTGCACTTTATTGATGAGCCGGTCAACAACTGCATAAAAACCTTGTCCAGCTTTCTGGTCGAGGTGAAGCTGTACCGGAGGCGAAACAACGCCGAAATCTTCCCTCTCCTTCTTGACATCGCAGCGTTGGGGACGCAAAATCCGTCGTGTAGGTCGCGCAGCCTCGGTCAAACTTGTCACGTTCTTGAACCAAGTCCCAAGTTAACAATAGGAAGTTTCAGTGGACCGTGTTTCCCCCTACGCCAAGCCCCTCCGCTACACGGAACTTGTCAGCCAAGGCCATCGGTACGCAGGCGCAGTGGCGTTTTTTTTTTTTTTTTTTGCTGGAGAAGGCTTAGGTAAAGGGGGAAACACAGTATACTAAA